CCCCACTTCGCTCCATCCCACTTCGCCCCATCTCCACTTCGCTCCATCCCACTTCGCCCCATCCCACTTCGCCCCATTCCCACTTCGCTCCATCCCCACTTCGCCCCATTTCCATTTCACCCCACCTATTATCGATCACTCTGTTCTTTAGTAATGGAGGCATAACATGTACATGTAGATGCAACACATCCATGTTTGAGTACCCAAATACTGTTGGAGAATCCAACCTGCAAATGCCAAACAACGCTTCCAATATCCGACTGACCCAAATTTTTTTGCCGAGACCTCACATTTTTATTGGCAAGTTAGAAAAAAACAAATTTAATAAATATAAGAAAGACAAATGAATGAATCCTGTTGTCTCTTCTGTCTTCACAAACACCTCAGAACAGTTTCTCATTTCAACATTTGTGTTTAAATGTTTTCCCAGTTACATTTGCAACAATTGAAAATCAGCTTCTGTTAATTTCACTCATCGTGTTTCGCTGTCGCTGTGGTAAAAACATGTGCGCAAATCACAGGTTCCCGCCACGCCACACCCATGCAAGAGAATGCATGATGGAGTGTGGCAACCAGTCTATTCATGCTGTGGCAACTGTACATGTGCGTTACTTCACGCATCGAAAAAAATTGATGTTGCAAGACTTCTTCAAGTTATTTCACAGAACTTAGCATCTCATCTACATGTATGTGTGTATTTTCTGTGTTCATGAGTTTAATTTTAGGTTGTTTTGCTTGTACTTGAAGCGAGCATGCTTCCACAAAATTTCCTGCCGCGGTGCGCCATGGTTTATCTGATTGCAGGGGCACAGCTGTCTGTATACATTGACAGTTACCAATACCAGAACGATGTGTACAGAAATTTGAAATAAACTTGAAGAGGATGAGAAATAAACCCAAAGCTAGTTCAACCGTACAATAATTCACCATGGACAATGCAGTTGACATAAATGCCGTATACGGCCTACATGTGCACGCGTACATTGTAATTCCATGTCGTTTGTGGAACTCTTCTCTCGGCGATTTTTTTGGAAAAGGCTCGAAACACACTCGAGCACGGACGGCGCGAAGTGGGGATGAAGCGAAGTAGAGATGGGGCGATGTGGAGATGGAGTTAGGGGCGATGTGGAGATGGAGTTAGGGGCGAAGTGGTTAGGCAGGTAAGATGAGTCGTGGAAATGGGGCGAAATGACAGCATAATTTCATGGTTTATGCGGATAAACAAATAAACTGACTTGCAGGCCTAAGTAGTGTGACTGTTGGATTACCTTGGCCCCGAATTTCTCAAGAATTGTCTTCACTTTATCTCTGTGTCCTCTGGAAAACGCATGCCTCTTTCCTCTGTCATGGCTATGACGGCAAAGCTCGCAGTAGCTGAACTTCTGACAACCCTTCGACGGAGTAGCCATCTTGGTCCACTTGACGTTGAGGGCGCCTAATCTATTGGGTCGGTTTATTTACCGCCACGGACTCGTCCCCAGCAGTGGACTTCTTGCTGCAGATTTGACATTCAGATGTTCCTCAGTAATTGTCTTAAAATGATTTAATGTTTCAGAATCGGAAAGAAAACGTGGCTGGAGCTGCTGACCTCTTCAGGAATCAAGCCCGAAATCTCCCAAAGCCTGGAGGAGTGTGTGAAGACGAAGTGGTTGAAAAACATAGTCAGTTCGATGTATGCCGATGCCGTTTGCTGCGAAGATGAAGGGCAAATCTACTGAGACACACGATTCTGGGGGGCGGCATGACGCTATGAAGGGGGAGGTTAAATTCTGCAGCTTTTTACTCGCCTATAGAAGGATAGGAAATTATACATTCCCCCGAAATAGCTACCATTCTCTCAATTGTTAATAATGAAAGCCTTCAGTCAAGACCTGCCTGGACTCTGCTTACATTAAACACGACAAAAGGCCACCGCGACAGGCCGGGTCTTCTTTCATGTTACCAGACTGAGTGTCCAATAGAGAACAACCAATGGATGTACCATATTAACGCAGAACTTAACTACAGCGGCGTTAATTTGTGCCGGAAATGGGGGGGGGGGTGCCAGGGATGGGAAAGGTGGGGGGGGGATGACTTGCCCCGCCATGAAAATGTGAAAAGCGCGGGGGGGGGGGGTGAAACCATAGACTGTATAAAGAGAGCGATGTACATGATATTGATGTGAATCTGAAAATGTATTCAGAATGGCATATCTGTGGCTTTTAAAAATAACTGTCCCTTTTTGAGTGCTGTTGAATGCATATTAATCGTGGAAATCTGAAAAATTCTTCACAATTCGCTTTAATTTTCTGCTCACCACAAAAAAAAATGTGGGGGATGAGTCAATAGCCACCACCACGTCAACAAGTATGGGGGATATATAACCCCATTCCCCGAGATTTACCCCAAGATTCTCTACCAACAGAGCGATTAAAGTAGTTGTGAACGTAAAAAATAAAACAAAACAAAAAACACAGCAACAGATTCATGAATAAACTGACAATCGATCCCTGTTACTCCTAGCTTTTGATGGGTCAGTAGTTTTTTAACTTTTAATCTTAGTTTTTGTGCATGAGTGTGTGTGTGTTTTGTTTGAATGTCTGGATTTTGTTTGCTTTGTTTCTGATCTATTTACAGTTTATTGTCAACACTTACGCCATTGGAGGATTTTTCTTCGAAGGACGTTTTTGCCGTTTGTTTTTTCTTCTGTGTGTATGTTATTCTGAACAATCAGAGTTAAGGAATTTGCCGTAATGCGATTGTCTGTCGGACACAAAACAGAAAAGATAAACAGTGCATAACTTGTTGAGTGAACTTATTGAATGATCATGCAAAATAGAATGGTAATTTTCGGACAGATCACACTCTCGAGATCTTTCCTTGGATTTTCAGAGGAACTAGATAGGACTACCCTTCCAGTTTTGTCTTTATTGTTCATTTCACGCGCCTTGCACCCAAGACCCTGGAACCCATCGTGACCTTTCATCCCAAAATCAACCAAACACACTCCTAGATCCTCTGTCACTTCGTGGTGCATAATATGGGCCCAAAAAACAGCTACTGTTGTGCTATGAAAATGATCCCGCCTTCCCACGAGACTGGAAACTCGACACTTGCCGCAGAGCGCCAACCGGTGCATCTTTTATACCGGGTCAAGTGCGTTTATTTTGAAATCCAGTCGGCGAAGAAAAAGTTGGTCAACTGTGGCGAGGCGTTTACCCACGAAAGTGGAAGTGTTGATTCTGAAAGCGGGCTGGGTCCCTGGGCTCAAGGTTCTCGTGTCTATAAGGCACTTCAACAGTACAAAAGGAGCAAGGGAAAAAAATAAAGACTTGTTTCCCCCTTTTAACAATATCGAAATAGGATTCTTCGAGTGGTTAGGCTGAGTTCGGTTAAAATATCATAGTGTCGTAATACGGTGCTCAGCCGTTCCGAGTAAGTGGAATAAAAATAAGATATCACATCAGGAGGTGGTACATTTGAAGAGTCGACACGACATCCGTGCAAAGAGGAGGAATTATGTGATATAAAAGGGGGAATTGTACTGATGGAAGGGAGTACCCAACATAGCCACTTTCGTGTAGTTGGACCATAGAAAAAGTTTAAAAGTTTTTGTTTTTGGCCCCGATTATCGTGTTGTTGAATAATTGAATAAGATCCCCAAACCTCGCCTGTGCTTTGCTGGTAATCATTTCCAATTTCATTTGAACCCCTTCGCACATAGCTTTCCGCCAAGGCCATAATTTATGGATATTTAGCGGGCATAACAACTATAGACAGAGATGGAAACATGCTGAGCCACGAAGCGACTGAAACCGGTGGCAAAACCAGGGGGGGTGCACGGACCGGAATTTGCCCTCAAACTTCTTGATGATGTTCAAGCCCTCAACCCCCCCCCCCCCACACACACACCGGGTTGCTGCGCCACAGAGGCTAGGACTAGGATGTCCGGTTATATTATATACCGGAGCTCGTAAGTTAAGATGTGCCGTATTGTATCCTTGTTTTTCAGAAAGAAGAAAAGAATGTTAAAAACTGGGGGGGGGGGCACAAGCCCCCTAGTGCGCGCCACTGACTGGAGCGGAGACTACGAGTGTAAAGCGGACTCGCACACGGTGGTCTCCATCCCAGTCGCTGTCTGACTACGCAGCTTCGCTGAGCTATCCTGTCTACATGGTAATGTCGGCAAATTAAGTCTTGGAGGCCTCATAGCGAAACGGTACTTCCCGCTGTGCTCCCTGTGGAAGCGATGGTAGGAATCATCCATCTAGCCACAACTTCATGGGGCAATGTCTGGGATCAAAATTCACTTTTTAAGAGATCAGAATGATACAAACCACAAGCTTGCCGAGCTTACTAGGCTGCCCTTGTGACCAACTTCAAGCTGAATATTGCGCGTGTGATCAATGTTTCTAATTTTGTTTTTCAGAATTTATAGCTGTGTGATGTCTCCCCTCCCCGCTCCCTCTCTATAAACTGTGAAAACATTGTTGATTTATGACTTCGCACTTGTGTTCCATTTGAGTCGTTTGGAGGATTACAAAATGACAAATATATGCAACATAGATTTATTTCCGGCTTCCGTAGGCTCAGCGGGGGAGCGTAGTCAATCTACCCCGGACATATGCAGCATTCGCCGAATATCCCGAGTCCGGTTGGATGTGTCTGAACAAATACGAGTAAATTTATGGGGCTCTGTATCTTGCACACGGATGTTGTAAAAAGATACTTCTACCGTAAATAATGACGGACAAAATACAGTTCTGGGACTGGAAAGCACCGAACAAAATTCACTGTAAACAGATAAGGATACAGAGCGTATGTCGCCATGATTACGTGTAGTTGTTGTTGGGATGGATTTCCTGGTCAGGCTACAGAACAATCTCGTGATAGTTCGACATCCACGTGCAGTAATAGTAAAGAATTCTTTAGCACAAGTGAAAGTTAAAGTAAAATATGGAGCGAGGGAAGCAAATTTTACCAAAATCGTTTTTTCTAAGAGCTTTTGTGCTGAGGCTTGGACTATACACAAAGACAGGAAAAAAAAGACGTGGAGTGGCGTTTCGCGGAATTTCCTCCAAAATACGTCGTTCGCGGGCATATTTCGTAATTTCAACACAGCATTTATTGAATTCAGGATACAAGGCACTTGTGAACGACATTTTGAGCTGTCTTCGTCGGGTAAAAATGTAAGACAAAAGTGTTGAAAAAAATTCGCATAGTTTAAGGACATTTATACCCTGGACAATAGTCGCAATGTAATGCAGACGTCGTCCAACCTCGGCTATGTGAGCTATAAAACAAATTGTGCTAAAAAACTGCGATACCGTCGCGTTGGGGGGGGTACCATCCACCATGCATTCTCGGTCGACGACGTGCTTGGCGCATCAAACCTAATCTAGTCTGAAGCTACTAGTCAGTATTTCACCCTGCGTTAAGCGTAGTACGTGTGGTGTGGTGTATAGTAGCCTGAAGTACATAACAATTTAATTGGACGTGGTCGGAAAGGAGCCTTGTTAATTTCTTTTGACTTCATGCGTTCGGCCTCGGGGAGAAAGCAGTGACTTTTTTTTTAATTTAGGGCAGTGGAAAATCCTTTTAAACTAGAAAATAATAGGTCTATTAATGTTGAAGGTTTTCCGAAAACGAAAGTGAAAAAAGTGCAGAAGCTGTTTCAAAATTACGTTGAAATTTGTGCCCCTGCACATTTTCAACGGGCCGCCCACTGCTTTTTGCCTCCACATGCCATTTATACGCATGCGCACATAAATTAGAAATTGTTAGTCTAGTGGAAGGGTCTATGGACGCTACTAATGCCCGAGCCGCAGCGTTAAGCACATATCTATTCCTATTCATAAATACCATTTTTAAGTCATAGAGTCAAAAGAAGTCAATATATGATGGATTTTCAGGGATTTTTATACTAGAATTTTACTATTATTTTCCACAACACCACGTCCATTTTATGGTATATTCCGTTGTTTTCCAATAGAATCTCCTTACATGGACTTGGCGCGCGCGTGGCGAGCCGCGTGCACACAGACTCTTGACCAATCAGAATCGATTAAACTGTCTCGTTATCCAGATGCTAGCGTGTGATTTACTCAGCGAGCATAATCACTTCTCAGCGGGCATTATCAAATATTAATAATATTAAAAATGTCAAGTTGGAAGTTCTTGAATACGGAGACTGTCAGGGGTATTTGTGTATAAAGTTTAAGGCACTTGCACATTGGCCAGTTGCAAGAGGTATCCAACGCGTGCGTACCAACTGCTTGAGCTTGCGTTATCAATGGCCTGTTATTCTGGTTACGGAATTAGCACATCAAAAGAAATCACCGCATTAAATTTCTTGACGGTACTTGACGGTGGCTATAACTAATTTGTTAATGGATTCAAACAAACTGCATGGAATCAAACTTCTCAGGATGGGAGAACAACAGAAAAGTACATTTCTTCCACAATAATGACATTAATAATCACGAACAAAAGTTGGCTGCCTGACTCATGGCCGGTTGGTGACACAATTAAAATCGCTAACAGCTTCAGTTTTAAGAACAAGGTAATTTTATCCAATGATTGAAACTTCACAGTCACTACTCGAGGTCACTCTGTCAAGCCGCCATTTAAAGATTTCAATTGGAATGGTTACCACTGCGATGCTGATTGACAATTGTGCCAAATTAAATTGATTTAATGACTTTTCAGCGAGGGTGCAA